ACATTGAGCTTCGTCATTTCTTCATCCGAGATCTTGTTCAGAGTGACCAGCTGACGGTACGGTACATCGCCTCAGATTGCAACCTCGCCTCAGATTGCAACCTCGCCGACCTCTTTACCAAGGTTCTTGGCCAGGGTGACCACCATTGCCTTCTTCGTTCCATAGGGCTATGTGCTCCTTGACCGGGTTTTGCAGTCTATGGGGGTGTGTTAGAAATGGATTGCAAATCCTAGTTTTGTATTTGTACTTTTATATCCTAGTTTAGGTTAGGAATGTTCTAGTGGGTTGGGGTGTACTGACAAAATTCCAGCCTCACCCAATTGTGATCCCCTTAATCTCCAATTACCCAATTGGAGATTCCGGAGATCCCAATGGGGATTCCCTCCGATTCCCCCTTCATCTATTCTCCCTTACCTTGTCATGTACTTATAGAGCCTTGGGCTCCTTACCTTATCAATAATTTCAGCTCAATTTCTTACACTGTAGTTATTTGAAACTGCACCGGCGGCGGCTAGAATACTAGCAGCGGCGAGAACGAGAGGCGGTGGCTAAAAGCCTAGCGGCGGCAATAGAGGGGACGGCAACTGTGTGCACGTCGGATGGGGACGGGGCGGAAGCGTTCGGAAGGATTGGGTTTCAAATTTTGTGTGGGCCATTGTAGCTCTATACCGTGTTAGAAACAGAAAAGTTAGTTTCTTTATGAGGGAAGGAGCTTTTTATAGCAAGGGTAAGAGGCTAGGAAGGGTAGAGTGGAAGAGAAGGTTGGAAAGGACGGAGAGGTAAGGGTCAATCACAAGAGGGGGGGAAAGAGCCAAATATGGTGGACCACAAATGACTTGACCAGCCCAACTTGTGGTGCCCCCACAATTGTGGTCCTTGGTGTTGAGGGCTCCAACCACAAGTGGGTTGGATTGACACCCCCAATACAAGTGTACACCCAACTTTGGGTGTACACGCAACATACAAAAATAGCCAAGCAGGGTATAATCTAACATCGTTTGTACCTAGTCGCATCTGAGTCCTTCCTCCAACGCACGTTAGTAGCGTCACGACCTTTGCAGCCCACGTTTTAGTCAACCACTTTAGCGCTCCCCTGCTTAGTCACGCTATGAGCGTCCCAGGTGTTACGACTCGCAAGCGAACGCGCGGTTAACTATAAATGAATGTCGCACTGGTGAAGCGTTTCAGCAGGTCGGCGCGGAACTGCTGCCACGTGGCTTCACCGTGGATGAAAGTACTGTTGCCGCCAATCCACTCGAGTGCCGGCCCTCGCATCAGTGTCGCCGCGAGTCGTACACGTTGACCGTCCCAGACTGGCGAGCTCCATCCGACGGCTGCGAAGTAGATCTCCATCCCGGCGATCCATCTGCCCGCGTCGGAGTTTCGATCGCTCGGATCGAACGGCTCAGGTGGGCGCGGTTTCGGAGCCTCGAGAAACTGCTGCGACTGCTGCGTCGTCGCCGTTGTCGTCTCGTGCTGCGCTCCGGCGAGTCGAGTTACTCGCTCGAACTGGTTTCGCCACGCTTCGCGATCCGCTCGCATTTCCTCCTGAAGGGCTGCGATGCGCGCGAAGAGCTGCTGGGTAACCTCGGCGTTGTCGAAGGTTGCCATCCTGTTCAAAACACGCACGGAGGGGGTAATTCGAAAATCGCGGAGCTGGTGCTTACCAGAATCGGCGTCGAATTGGTCGCCCCCGGCGGTTTTTCGAGGCAGGATCCCCGCTGCTGCTGCTTAGCTGAGCGCGGTCGAGTGAGAAAAGCTCTGATTACCAAGTGTTACAGGATCGAATGTGTCGAGGAAAGGTTGCACTATCGATCAGTACAAGGCGCTTTTATACTTCCAAAGTACATCAGGTAACCAGGTTTATCTTATCCTAAGGAAATAGACCCTTCTAGAAGATAGAATCACCCTGCGTATAGCCACGCGAGGCTATTGGCTTTAAGGGATTACGGCAGGATTACGCTGGATAATGTGCCAGTACATCCCAAGCCTGGTCACTGATATAATTATAATAGCAGGATCAACCAAAGGATAATGGAAGAATGGAGAATAGGAAACCAAATGAGATGAGATAAAAAGAAGAATGAAAGAGGAAGGAGATAAGAATAGGACAAGGGGTGTAACGGGGTCGTACTCTCACACCGCCCCCCTTCCTGATTCTGGGGTTGTACCCTACATATACACTAGCTTTGCATGCTATGGGGTTGTGTTAGAATATACCATGCTATGCTAGTTGTGTATATTGTGTTTACATCCCTAGTTGGGTGTACACCTGTATTGGGGTGTCAATCCAACCCAATTGTGGTTGGAGCCCCCAAACACAAGGACCACAATTGTGGGGGCACCACAAGTGGGTTGGCTAAACCACTGGTGGTACACCACACTTGGACCACCTCCAACTTGTGGTCAACCACATTTGGAAGGATCCTCTCTCCCTTGTGATTGGTCCTAACCCCCCCTTCCTGGAAAGGTTGCACTATCGATCAGTACAAGGCGCTTTTATACTTCCAAAGTACATCAGGTAACCAGGTTTATCTTATCCTAAGGAAATAGACCCTTCTAGAAGATAGAATCACCCTGCGTATAGCCACGCGAGGCTATTGGCTTTAAGGGATTACGGCAGGATTACGCTGGATAATGTGCCAGTACATCCCAAGCCTGGTCACTGATATAATTATAATAGCAGGATCAACCAAAGGATAATGGAAGAATGGAGAATAGGAAACCAAATGAGATGAGATAAAAAGAAGAATGAAAGAGGAAGGAGATAAGAATAGGACAAGGGGTGTAACGGGGTCGTACTCTCACACCGCCCCCCTTCCTGATTCTGGGGTTGTACCCTACATATACACTAGCTTTGCATGCTATGGGGTTGTGTTAGAATATACCATGCTATGCTAGTTGTGTATATTGTGTTTACATCCCTAGTTGGGTGTACACCTGTGTTGGGGTGTCAATCCAACCCAATTGTGGTTGGAGCCCCCAAACACAAGGACCACAATTGTGGGGGCACCACAAGTGGGTTGGCTAAACCACTGGTGGTACACCACACTTGGACCACCTCCAACTGGTGGTCAACCACATTTGGAAGGATCCTCCCTCCCTTGTGATTGGTCCTAACCCCCCCTTCCCTTCCAACCTTCCCTTCCTAGCTCATCTCTCTCTTCCTATGTAATGCCTTTCCTTCATCAATAAACTGAACCTTTCTGTTTCTAACATCCTTCTCCCCATTCCTTCCTCCTTAGCTGTGGGGACTTGAATGCTCTCATGGCGTTGGTGCAAATCTAGTCGGTTCCCGCGAGCACTTGTACCATGAGGCGGAAGTGACGGTGCACGCTCATCACCTTGCTGCACCCCCTCCTCCTCTTCTTCCCCATTCATTTGAGGAGATTGCCTTGTGATTGTGCTGCTGCTACGCAGCTTCAAGGGCAGCTCCACATGCTCCAAGCCGGTACTCTTCACCTCTCCAATCATTCTAGTCCTTCTTCTCCTGCTGCTGGTATCCCTTGGCCACAATTCTGCTCTTGTAGCGCTCAATGTTGCCGTCGGCGTCGGTGTTGCGCTTGAAGAGCCACTTGGAAGAAATCGCCTTACGCCCCGGAGGTAGGTTCACCAAATCAAACGTGTCGTTCTCGATGATGCTCCCCATTTCTTCATCTGAGGCCTTCTTCTACTCCTTCCCATTGGAGCCCTCCCAAGCCTCCTTGGGATTTGTAGGCTCCCCCGGTATCCCCACCGGAGAGAAGAAGGCAAAAGCGCACTCCTCGCTTTCATCTTCCGCATCATCGCCTAGCATGAGAGCCGAATCGGTCAAGGTTGAGTTGGCTGGTCCTCCAAGCCGGTCATAGCTCAACCTTTTAGGAGGCCTCCCCCTTCCTTCCTCCTCTGCTGCAGGGACTTGAATGCTCTCATGGCGTTGCGGTAAATCTGGTCGGTTCCCACGAGCACTTGTAGCACGAGGCGGAAGTGACGGTGCACGCTCATCACCTTGCTGTACCTCCTCCTCCTCCTTATCCCCATTCATTTGAGGAGATTGCCTCGTGATTGTGCTGCTGCTACTCAGCTCCAAGGGCAGCTCCACATGCTCCAAGCCGGTACTCTTCACCTCTCCAAGCCGCACACCAATCTTTGCTTGGTTCTCCGCCTTCCACTCCTTGTACGGTAAGTTCTCCATGAACTTGCAATCTCTGCTCACCAAGAACTTCTTGGTAAATGGGTCACAAAGAAGCCATCCCTTGCTGTTTTGAGCCATGCCCAGGTGCACGGCCCATGTTGCCTTGGCATCAGGCTTGTTGTGCCGATGTTTTTAAGGCACAAGTGCCATGCACATGCACCCGAACACCTGAAGCATCTCCACCTTTGGATTCCTTCCAACCCACTTCACGTAGGGCAGCCATTTGACTTTTCTCACATGATTCAAGAATCTGTTCTTGGCCACACAAGCATGCCGTACCGCATCCGGCCAAAAGTAATTGGGTAGACCGGCTTGGATGAGAAGTCCCCGAGCCGTCTCCATGATTACCCGATTTGCACGCTCGACGATGCCGTTCATTGCAGGAGATTAGGGCATGGTGAGTGAGTGCCTTATGCCCTGCTTCTTCAGCCAAATTGAGATGTCCTTGCTCAGGAACTCTCCCTCACGGTCAGTGCGAGTCGCCTTCACAAGCCGGTCTTGTTGCCGCTCCTCCATCGGCAACCAATCGGTCTTCACCGTCTCAGCTACGTCACTCTTCTTGGGCAAAACATACACCCAAGTCATGTGAGTGTAGACATCCACATTGGTGAGGACGTACTCTGATCCAGTAGCTCCAAGCTTCAAGGGGCCCACCACATCCATCACCACCTCGTCAAGTAGAGCCTTCGCCGTTGTGTCCGAGCTATGGAACGGTAAGCGAGTGAAGTTGGCGTGCATGCATGTCGGGCATCCAAAAACCTCATTGGGCTCCCCTTTAACACGTATCCCACTGACCAGCTGCTGCAAAGTGGGCAATATCACATGCCCCATTCGCCGATGCAAGGTCAGCCAATCACACTCTCCTGTAGCGGAATTGCAATTGTGCCCCACAAGCTCTCTCCTTTCTCCTTTGCTGCTGCTGCTTAGCTGATCTTAGCTTTCTCCTCCTCATTTCCACCATCTTTGGCTGCTGCACCACTCTCCTTCGGTTGATACGCCTGGCTGGTCCCTCCAAGATTGCACTCCATCGAGTCACTCTTGGTGTCACTTTGCTTCCGTGATCACCGCCACCAACCGCTTCACTCTTGGTGCTGACGCTTACTGCAACTTGCCTCTTCTTAGGCATGGGGACCACTGGAATTCGCCACATCTCATTGTAGATGTCCCTGTCCTCATGAAGGTCCCAAAGCTTCCGCTCACCTAGCCTCGCGATATACGTTTTGGATCCCTTGGAAGATGTGTCCATGCTAGCCTTTTGCAAACGCCGCACGGAAATCAGGTTGGCTGCAAGGTTGGGCACCAAAAGCACGTTCTTGAGGCCCACCATGTTCCCATCAGAACGCTTAAACATGGCCTTGCCCATGCCTTTCACCTTTGCTCGCTGCCCCAAAGCCGATGTAAAATGCTTGACCGGTGACGGTTCGAGCTCGGTGAGCAAGTCAGCACGAGGGTGACCTTTCCCACTGTAGCTGGCTCCTCAAAGCCTTCCACAGCTCCTGCTGCAGCTGCCGCTTGCGTGGAGACAAAGAATTATTGGCCCGGGTATCGATCTTCACTCGGACCCGTCTCGTAGTCTCCACATGCTTGCCGCTTCGCTTCCACGACCACCACGGCCTCCACGACTGCTGCCTCTTCCTCCCCTTGCTCCTCTGCCCTCTTGGCCTTGAGAAGGGGTCCATCCTTCGGGCAATCTGAAGCAATCTCTAAACATGGGGCTGGTCTTGTGACAAAAGTGACATTCGCCATCAAATCGACCGCGCCCATGCCCGTAGCCGTTATTGTTGTTGTTGCTGTTAGAATATACCATGCTATGCTAATTGTGTATATTGTGTTTACATCCCTCGTTGGGTGTACACCTGTGTTGGGGTGTCAATCCAGCCCAATTGTGGTTGGAGCCCCCAAACACAAGGACCACAATTGTGGGGGCACCACAAGTGGGTTGGCTAAACCACTGGTGGTACACCACACTTGGACCACCTCCAACTGGTGGTCAACCACATTTGGAAGGATCCTCCCTCCCTTGTGATTGGTCCTAACCCCCCTTTCCCTTCCAACCTTCCCTTCCTAGCTCATCTCTCTCTTCCTATGTAATGCCTTTGCTTCATCAATAAACTGAACCTTTCTGTGTCTAACATGGTATAGAGCAATAATGGCTCACGCCAACTTTTAAATCCCGATCCTTCCCCACGCTTCCGCCCCGTCCCCTTCCTACGTGCACCTCATTGCCATCCCCTCCATCGCTGCTGCTAGACTCCTAGCCGCCGCCTCTCAACTAGTTTTCTGTTGGGTGGATTTTCAAAAACCCCCAATGCGCCAAACGCCATAGCTCGCTCGATAGTTGACAGAATTGAGTGATTCGACTTGCAAAAGAACGCTCTTGGTGTCAGCTACAACGTCGTAAAATTTCGGACTGTTGCATCGCTCGGATTGTCAGATATCGCTTTCCAAAGTTTGCACACTTTCCTGGATGTGATCACGAAGTGCTACTGAAATTTCTACCAAGTCCTATTTTCATCAGCTTACTGCCATCTTTCCCCATCCTTTGCCTCCTCACCTGCACCTGCTCATCGCCGCCTTACCACTGCTGCAGCCGTAGCAGCAGCAGCAGAAGCAGCAGCAGCACCAGAAGGAGCAGCAGACTCAGCAGCAGCAGCAGCAGCAGCAGTAGCAGCAGCAGCAGCAGCAGCTGAAGGAGCAGCAGCAGCAGCAGCAGCAACAGCGGCAGCAGCAGCAGCGGCAGCAGCAGCAACAGCAACAGCAGCAGCAGCAGCAGCAGCAGCAGTATCTACAGCCATCCCCATCCTCCCCTCCTCTTTGAGCCGCCGCGGGTCCACCCGCCGCCACTCCCTCCTGGCCACTGCGGGTCCACCCACCGTCGCCTTCCTCCCACTCCGTGTCACCAATGGCATTCTTTCCCCCTCCCGTCGACGTCTCGACCCTCGATCATCTCGTGCGCGCTGCCGACAACTCAGCAACCAACTGGTATTCCTTCGTCGGCAGCCTCCACCGCGTCCTCGGTAGTGCTTATGTCCTGCCGTTCCGCCTCCTGGACATCATGCTTGGTCTCCCAGAGGGTGACCTTGAGGACCCGCCGCCTCACCCTGGCGATACCCCCCCTCTCATTCCCCATCCCGGCTAGGAACCTCCGCCCCCCATGGTACCCGTTGGCACCAGCACTCGCGCTGCCACCGCTGAAGTTGAGCAGCTCTTCCTTACTCAGCGTCGTGAGTTCCTCGTGCTCCATACTGATTACCTGATCGCGTTGGAGGAACACGAGCGGTCGGCAACCCTTCGCACCCAGCATGCCGCTACCGCCGCCGCTTATGCCGCTGACTCTGCGCGATTTGCTGAGCGTCGTCACGCCTGGCTCGAGGCGGACAGCCGTGCTACTGGTGCCCTTCTCCTTGCCATCCCGTCTGCGCTCATGCGCAACTTCCAGGCACGTCGCATCGGCTCCCGCCAGATCTGGCTCGAGCTTGAGGCAATGTTCGAACGCACCGACTTCGATGCTGTTGGACCGCTCTTCAAGGAATACTTCAGCATCACGATCGAACATAGTGCTGGCGCCGTTGACTACACCAGCCGTCTCCTGGACCTTGCCTCCCGCCTTGAGGCTCGCCAGACTACTCTCCCCCCCAACCTTCAGATCTACCGTCTCCTCGAAGGCCTCTCCCCTCAATATGAAGTGCGCGTCATCGCCTTCACTGAGGCTCAGCCCCGCGCCTCCCTTGACACTGTGGTCCAATGGATCATTGACGCTGAGGCCCGCCTTCTCTCAACCCCCCCCTCCGGCCTGAACTCCACCGAGTCCCAAAACCCCCAGCTTGCAGTCACACAGCCGCGTCGTGGCGGGCGCCCACGTGGCGGCCGCACCAACCCTCAGGGAGGGGGGGGAGGTGGCGGTTTTGGGGGCAGCGGAGCCGGCGGCGGTGGTGGCGGGGTCGAGGGTGGCAGCAGTTGTGGTGGTGGAGGCAGTGGTGGCTCATCTGGTAGCCGTGGTGGCCGCCCTGGCACTCTCCCCCCATGTTCCTATCTTCGCCGTTTTGGTCCCAGGGCGGGTGAGCGCTGCACCCAAACCAACCATCCCCCCGCGACCTGCTTCAAGGCGTATGATGACGCCTGGTTCGAGCGCGGCAACACTGGCACACCCCCACGCTGGTCTGCCATGGATCCCCGCCCCTCTCTCCAGGATGTCAAAACTCTTCCGTCTTTCCTCCCCTCTCATCTTCAGCTCTCCTCCTCCTCCTCCTCTGTCGCTGACCCCATAACTCCCCAGGAGCTACAGCAGTTTCGCCGCTTCCAGCAGCTGCAGCTGCTGCAGCAACAGCAGCAGTGGAGCTCTGGTGGTCAGGCTGCAGCCGCAGCTGCAGGAGCCGCAGCCGCAGCATCTGCATGGCAGCAGCAGCAGCTTGGCTTTGGCACCGCCGCCATGGCTGCCACAGCCACACCAGGTCCTCCTGGCTTTCCCCTTTGGGGCTCTCCTTCCCCTAGTGCTCCCGCCTCCCACTCCAGCTTTCTAGGCGAGCTCATGCGTTCTTCCCCTGCTTCCACTTCCATGTATCCCCCTGTTTTTAATGCCATATCCTTCATTACCACGGCCTCCATTGAAGTAACTGCTGCCAAATATGTTGTTGCATATGCGTTTGCACGTCATCCTATCGTCTATTCGCATCATTTCGTTCGCTTGTGTTTCGTGTGCTACGTTTTATGTGTGGTTAAATGGGTTTGAATGTCTTTGCATGTTCATCTTGTGCTTGTGCAGATGCACTTGGATTGTGCGTGACATCGAACACACTCCAACGAGCCAAGAATGATTGGAATCGGAGCACATATGAAGAAGTTACGAAGAAACGATTGATGGATTTGTTACAACTTATTGGAAGTTCTTGGCAGCTGCTATACCAAAGTTGGAGAGCCCTATAACGAGGAGGGACCAGCATGTGTGGGACTTTTGTCCTCACCTTGCAGCTGCAGCATTTGAGGTTTGGATGCCAACCTGACACAGTGTAAATTTTGTCTTGGAAGGCTGGTTGAACCTGAGGATGGAGAGTCAAGACTTTGACCATGGGCCTCCAGGGTCTTTCCCTTTCATCATTCCCTTCCTTCCCCATCTTCCAACCATGCTTCAATGTTTCCATCATGTCTGAAAACTTGTAAGCTTCAATGGATGTAACTCTGAGGACTGTCAATTTCTCCTAAGGCAGATTACCCCCCAGTGCGCCAAATGCCATAGGTCACTCGCTAGACCATGGAATCGAGTGATTCAACTTTCATTGGAAATTTGACGATGCAAGCTACAAGGTATCCGATTTTCATGTCGTTTCAGGGATTGGATTTTTGGATATAGCTTTTCCGAAGGTCGCGGGTTTTCTGGGCGTCATAACGAAGTGCTGCATAACTTTCTAAGGAGCCGTTGAATCATCTGCTAATAGCCTTCTCTCGCCATATCCTCCATTACCACGGCCTCCATTGAAGTAGCTGCTTCCAAATCTGCCTCCTCGCCCTCTGCCCCTTCCACGGCCGTGCCTATGGCCCATGCTTGCAACTCCGGCACCATCGGGACCCGCCAATTCGTGACGGCGGAAAATTTCTTGTAAGTTCTCCCGCTTCACATCTTTGAGCGAGAGACGGGGCAGATCTCGATTTAGGTTGATGATGAGCAAGGACCATGAGTCCGGAAATAACGCCAGCAGCTTGGTTTTCTTTTGGAGGTCACTGTAGTTCAGGTCAGCTCCTTCGAGGCGTGTCAACAAGTCGAAGAATTTCTGCACTCCTTCCTCCACTGGTTCGCCGTCGTCAATTCGAAGTGCCGCCATTTGCTGCTCCAAAACCAGAGCCACTGCCGCTGTTGCAGGAGCGTGTACACCCTTGAGAGCAGCCCATGCCTTTGGTCCCTTTGCTGGTTCACGCTGAAAAGGCTTGATGTGACAGATTTGGCTGCTCCCTAACGCTTGCCCAAGTAGAAGATAGCCTTGTGCACTCGTCCGCACCCACGAACTCTTCTCCGGGTCGTTCTCGGGGCGCTTCTCTGTTCCTTCCATCACCTCCAGCAGTTCATAGTGGTCAAAGATGTTCTCCATCTTGAAGGACCACTCAGCAAAGTTGTCACCCTTGAACTTGTCAAGGCCAAACACTCTCGGCTCATCCCTAAAGGGGCCAAGGATAGTTTGCACGGGAGCAACGGGTGGATCTTGGTGTTGGCCATGTACTTGGTCATCTTCTCTGCCTCCAGCACCTCTGCCACCCCATTCCAAAGGTCTAGGCATGGTCGAAATGGCTCCAAGGGGCTCTGATACCACTTGTTATAATCACAATATGCACAGATGTGCAAAAATTGAGAGATAGAGAGCACAGTTGGATTTCCATCACACAGCTTCAAATATTTTTACCGATCTGATCTCTTAATCAAACGGTAATCTGTAAGTTGGATCTGCAGCGTGTTGCTGTCTCCTATTAGCAGCAATTTGAATCATAAAATTCCATGAAGTTTTGACGACGCTATGACGGTTTGACTTGCATGAGGTAGAGCGGCCACTATAGTCTTAGAAGTACAAACTTAGCAAGAAGAATCGAGATTGAGATGGTTTCCAGCCTCTACAAACCCCAAGAGACGAGGTCCAAGCTGGTGGTACACCACCACAGAGTCTCCAACCACGAAGATTCTCGAAACAAACCCAACAAGGGGCCACTCCATGTGAAATGTAACAGTACACAAAGTAGCATTACTATTTTCACTATTTTTATATTTATCCGTATCCCTTGGGCTTTAAACCTTGAGCTCTTGGTGTTGGTTCAGCAAGAAAAACTCTTCTTGAGTTGATGAGGGCTTCCTACACTCACCTGCGACGCAACGGACACTTCACACTCGACAAAATAGAAAAACACATGCGACGCGCAAACGACGACTTGATATGCGAGTTGTGTGAAAACTCGCTAATGTCTTGACCGACACAAACCACATTGTGATACACCATTCAAGCACACACACAAGCAATAAATAGCAATGAAATAGACTCACAAGTGATTCCATGCTTTGCATGCACACACACGAACAAGGACGAGAAGTCGAGTGCAAGCCAGAGGGTTGCACCAACAGGCGAAGACTGAAGTGGCCAATGCAACCCTTGCAGGCGGGGTTATATATTGAACGGAGACTGGATTTGATGCTTATTGTAGCAAGGGGGGTTGTTGGAATTTTGGGAGTATCTAAGTTGCTCCAATAAGCAAAATGATAGAAGTTAGATTATATAATGGGTAGTGTAGAGTACTTTGGTTGGTTGGATTGGGAATGCTTCTAGAGGATAAATTTCAAATTCATTTTAGATCTGGTTGTGACTTCACTTCTTACATTTGGATGCGTCTCCTAAGAGTAGGTCATGGCCAATTCGGTTCCCAAGCATCCTAAACTGTAGGAGAAGGTTCTAAGGATACATTAGTTTCTTAGAACACTTTAACACCGTAGAATCTTCATGTTTGTTGTGCTGGCACCCGTTGTAGGTGTCTATTTCATATTAGGGTGTCCCATTTATAAGGTCGGATTTAGGAGCGGTAGAAGAGATCACAATATTGGTAGGGGACATTGCATGTATTTCTAAGGGGTTGGGGGAATATTAAAATACTATGAATCAACTCGTATAGACATTACAACCCTCGCCTTCATCAACTAGTTCTACAAGGGGGAGGCTTCGAAAATCAGGCACCCCCCAAGCATGCTTTGTAGTACTCGCTGACTCGTGCAGCTTGTAAGCCTCTGCCCTTGCACCGCTACACTTCTCTGTCACGGGGTATGGATCTGTTCTCCTCCTCGTCCTCCTCCTCCTCCTCCTCCTCCTCCTCCTCCTCCTCCTCCTCCTCCTCCTCCTCCTCCTCCTCCTCCTCCTCCTCCTCCCCCTCTTCCTCCATATCTTCATCCTCCCCATTCTCCCCCTCCTCCATCCCCCCCCCCCCCTCGCCCCCTCCCCCTGCTGTGCCACCGAGCAGTGTTTGTCGCAAATAGTCCCCAAAGGACATGTCTTCGGAAACATTCACCACAGGCTCCTTGCGCATGTGCTGCAGCACCAAGTAAAGAGCGCACATCTTGAATGCTTGGACAATGGCATCCAAGGGCATGTATTTCTATGCCTCATCGATCCACTTGAGGGCTACTGTATGTGGGGGCCGTCGAAGGGTGATTGTGGGAAATCGGGGAGCAGAAATAACTCTAGCACTGGCTAGGACTCTAAACAAAATGTCACGCGAGCAAATGTGCGAGCATGTGAGGACACTAAAGGATGCATACCTCTGTTTTTCATGAGGTTGATACTATGCCATCCGATCCACTCCGTGTACCATGCTTGCACCCCGTCTTGAAGCACCGGTTCACAGAGTTGTTGAGGGGCTGGATGCGGGGCGTACAACTGGGGGGGATGATGGCTGAGATGATGCAGTCCGTACAGCAGGCACGCTTCATCCCATCTGTCAGGTTCCCATTGTAGGAATCAATGACCAACATGCTCCTCCGAGTAGCCACACTACTCTTGGGGTTGAGGAATGGGAGGACTTCCATCTCAAGCAATTCCTTCCAGCCGTTCTTCTAAGCTTGCACCTCCATACTGGCCATTCAACGACGCACACATACACACCGAGGAGTGACACATGCTGAGACCGAGCAGACCGCTTAGGACTGGGTAGTGCATCAAAATTACATAGGGTAGGGCAGTGCATCCGGCAGGACGTAGGACAGGGCAGTGCATCGTGGAGGAAGTAGGACAGGGCAGTGCATCGGGCAGTACGTAGGACAGGCTAGTGCATCAAGCAGGACGTAGGACAGAGCAGTGCATTGGGCTTACCTCTTGGGCATTCGCACTTGAGTTTGGTTAGGTGCTTAAACCAAACCTAAGGCTGTTTGTAGCCCATGTCAACATCACCGCCAGGCACTGTTTCTCGTACCTGGTGCTCTTAACGGGTACGGAACGCACACCCCTATGCTCTAGGGTCCTTGTGGTAGACATCTCCACCATCAGCGGCGTCTGCTCCACGTTTATGATGCGGTGTGTGAGAGGATGAGGCTTGCAAAATACTCGAGCATATCCAATTCCATATTTGCTATTTGTTGTATGTTATTTCGTGTGTTTTTCCTTTCCTGGAAATCCCTACACTCTTTCCTACACATTGATATATTGTATATCATATGTGATATAGTGTTTCAGACTTTGCTTGCGTGACACATTTTCTATTGCGTGGAGTGTTCAGTCACCATCACCATATCTCTATAATCCTTACTGTGCTTTTAGTTGATGTTCTTACGGACGGTTCCACTGAGTTCTAGAACTCTCTTAGAAGGTCCTTATTACCCTTCCCTAGAGATCTTGTAGGTATAAATAGCATTGAATCTTTGCGTGTATACATTCAGTTCTTGATTAATATCATTCAAGCTTCCGCTTAATCATGGACCTGTGACACTTGGTATCAACGCTTACCCGCTGGGCCTCTAGGAGCACGTCGAAGATGGAGTTGAACTTCCGATCATGTAAGTAAATATATTTTTCTTATCTAGTTCTGACTAACCTCGAGCGGTTCCACCTAGGGTCCCCATCGATGGCGAGCAACATCGCCAACCGTTCGATATTCAGCATCGACGGAGCCAATTTTCCGGGGGGGGGGGGGTGCATACGTCAGCGACCCTCGCCAATGCCAAGATGTGCCCGAAGTACCTGCATTAAAATCTGGAGTCTTTTCTGCCCTCCGAAGCGATCGACAGTAGCTGGTGGAATTTACCCTGCGACGTTTTCCAAGAATTTCCAACTTCGCCACAACACTTGGAGTTGCACATGCGACGATCTACCACAGCCGTCTGATTCGATTTCGATGCTTCAGATCGTCAGAGGTGAAACGAACCTGAGCTGATGGAGTTCGAGTCCCAGTGCGTGTGGAAACAGCACCTAGGTAACATCAGATTATTCGCGCGCGTCCGATCATTCAATAACACACATCGACGACTACGAATTGCTGCTGAAAACGAGTATACTGTGACGATCTGGTCCACTGAAAACAAGTCTATCTTCGACGGAGCTAAACAAGCCTCAATAATATTTTTAGATCGCTTGGAGTTTGGACCGTCGAATCAGCATTGAACCAGCGGACCAGATCGAGCGCGAGTTGCTTACTTGTGGGGAGTTGATGCATAGAAGCAGATATACGCCAACATCAACTTCGACGACTGGACTACCTAAATTTCCAGCTCTCAAAATTAAGATCTCCTCATCAAGTCAGGAATGTCGGCAACAAGACTTCTCAATAGTCACAATCATCAGCAACAGTGACCTACTTGGTAACCTCGACTGGCAGAGATTTTGTCGTAGTACGCGGATTGTCAGATCGTCGTTGATTCGACGGCACATATGCAGCATCGGACTACTTGATGGGAGAACGACGTCCGAGAGTCAACATCTGTACGTGGCAACATCGCGATTACGTCCTACTTGAAAAGTCACGTAATGGACAGCCTTTCTTCAACGGAATCAGAATCTTCGATTGAAGCCAGATCGACGCCAACGAAGTAGAATTTTGTACTTCACCAAAGGAGCAGATTTTGGTGGTACACCAACAATGCAGCCGAACATCTCCGATGACAACATTGCCTTCCATAAAAATATTGTTTTACAACGACACTAAGTTGTCCAACAAATGGTTATACTATTGTCCAACAAATCGGCATACTACGATTTGCAGAGAAGTAGCAGTTTTCTCTTTCAAAATCCTCGCTAACAAAAGTTGATGCGAAGAAGCAGATTTTGTATGCAACTACGACGCACTTACTATGTCTCGTCAGGGACAGCGAGACACTACTTCGTAACAGGAGCTGATCGATTCGTCTTCACTACGAATCTCAGCCGTCCGTAGTGATTGGTTGGAGCAGTTTGACACCAACCTCAAGAGACGTCATCCCAATCATGTGACCGCGATTCCAGGTGTTTATCCCATCACACAAGGCACGCGGATTGACAGACTGAGGAGTCATAATTTCAAATCCGACAATCATTCGCACATCTGTGAGCCTACGGTACATGTATTGGAGGCGATTCTACCAGAAGCCGAAGCGTTACAAGCTTCAACGTAACTTCGACGACGTAGGAGAACTCCCAGCAACACGATGCTGTTGACAAATGAGGGAGATGCAAATTGCAACAAGACAATTACACGCTCTACCGACAGTACATCGGGAGCACGGATGAGCATACCAGGTAGTTGCTACTCGTGGATACAACAAGGGGAGAAGCAAGTAGTCTTCATACCCTTGATCGACCCAGTCACCGGGAGTGACACCAGTGCATGAAGACACACGTGTTCCCTAGAATTTACAACTGTTTTACCCATCAGGAAGACTCTAAACGGAAGAGGGAGCGGATGGATTCTTCTTCGAGCCGTAAGACATTACAAGCATCCTCTGCAGCAGTCGCCTCCAAGAGTCTCTACCACCGCCGCCGTCACAACAGACAACTACAGCAATACCCAACCCTAAAGGATATTCCTCCAAACCTTGGAGATGACACCGGATCTTATTCCAGCATGATTCCAAGACCCGACCTGGCACTACATTCACGATTTCCAACTAGTGGGATGGAGATACCACTATGCCCAGAACGAACGTGACTATGCCACATGCCCTCAAGAGCTCAGAGAAAAGAGAATCGTATGAGGATGGGAGGATTACGATGATATCCGAGTCCTCATGGCCCAAGGACTTTCGACTGAGTCATAAAACCTGCGTCACCAACCAATCCATCACCAGCATCACCTCCACAGAAGCTGATAGGCGTGACCCAGAGCGCCGAGGCCACTATGAATAGAGGAATCCGCGTTACTCCAATGGCACCCCTACAAGCAGAACTGAAGCAGATTCAACATCGATGCTGATTAGCTGAAATAACATCAACCTCATCAAAGCTGTTACAATAACATCAATAAATAGGCGACACAGAACGACCCAGTGGACCTACACCTATACTTGCATCCAGACACCGAGGCCAATTGATGGAATCCGTGCTAAAATGGACATGCATAAGGCATACTGGAGTCACCGTCTTATCACCAACAACCTATTGGACATGGTAGAGGAGTCAAATGGGTTGAGCACAGAAATCCCCATATCTCTTTAACCACGACCATGGATTGATGCTCCACTGATGAGCATGGTGACATCGTACTACTACAATCACTTGGCAACAAGTCTCTTTGCAACAACATGCAGCAGTTACAGCGTTACGGTGGTATACACACCGGTACACGACTGCTACGTCAACCTTGAACGCTTGGTGGTTTCTTGACCACATAGAGCAGTTATCATCGCTACAGCATGCTACAGTGCAGCTGAATTCTACTGACCGCAACTCAGGCACGGACTTATCACCATTCGCTACGCTACTCTGCAACCTGAGTTGGAGCGTCACACGTCCCACTACTTCTTCATGGGATACCTGCTACTTGCACTCCGTACAGGCTCATGAGTGTATGGAATCAAGTACAGAGAAGCTGCTATTCAAGTACAACTTTGTTGGCTTGATTTTCTCTGACTACTTTGAGCCTCACAACCCTCAGTGTTTGCTGAAAATCTGGGTGCTTTCAGCGTCTACCAGTTTTGAGGGGGGGGAGCTTGAGAGGATGAGGCTTGCCAAATCCTCGAGCACATCCAATTACTCATTTGTTATTTATTGTGTATTTTTTTTTGTGTTTCTCCTTTCCTGGAAATCCCTACACTCTTTCCTACACATTGATATATTATACTGTATATCACATGTGATAGAATGTTTCATACTTTCTTTGCGTGACATGTTTTCTATTGCGAGAAGTGTTCCGTCACCGTCACCAAACTGTGCTTCTAGGTGATGTTCCTACGGACGGTTCCACTCTGTTCTAGATCTCTCGTAGAAGGTCCTAGCCATCCTTCCCTAGAGTTCTCGTAGGTATAAATGGCATTGGCCCTTTGCTTGTATACATTCAATTCTTGATTAGTATCATTCAAGCTTCCGCTAAATCCTGGACCTGTGACACGGTGCAT